AAAAAAAAAAACGAAAGCAATTGGCGCAAATTGTGTCTTCAGTTTAAATTCCGGCAAACAGTTTTACGTTCGCTCGGCACTTTCATGGGGAGGTCGATAGCAGTGCAGCGTATATACTAGTTGAGCAACGCTTTCGAGGGGTATGCCATGAAAATACAATGACAAGAGGCATGTTCCATGGTATACCACGACAAAGCGCACAACTATTTGATACCATACCATAGAAAATACAGTGGCCAGCACAATCAAGGCGACATACACGTAGCGCATGCTGAGAAGGTTTGGTGTTATACCGTCGAGTTTGCCACAGCTTTAATTCCTGTATTCTGAGTGGCTGTGTTTTAATGGCACATATAACAATTATATTAACCAATCAGAGCACGCTCAAGAACAGTTCATTGCGGTCTGTGTTGCATTCTGATTGTTAGAAAAACAGTTTCATTAGATATAAACATTTTACTTTACATTTCCTAATGGACGTTTCCAATTACTTTTACTTAAAGTTTCATTTAACAACCTGTCTCGTACGCTCTGCTTGTTAAGATACAAGCGGCTGTTTTTAATGAATTTTTCTTCTCACAGCAGGAGATGCAGGTATTAAACTTGTCTTATTATGCAAGTTTGCGATGTAAATATTTTATTGAACAATATTACGACAACCGAAACCAGCATCCATGAAGTAGGTTGATGAGAACTAGAAAGTTTTTTAATGAGATATTCGATTATACTACGCTTAAACAAAAATATGATCAATATTTTCCACATGACTTGAATTTTAGGAAAACCATCAGGTGAGTTTCTGGTTTTAGGCTTTAAACTAAATCTTAAATTGCACTTGTTTAATCAATTTTCACACTATTGCGAGCACAAGCTAGGGTATATTTTTATTCATTGTTAGCTGCCGCTCTAAATATTCTCTCAGAAGCGTTGTTTGTTTCGTTGTTTTAGTCCGTTTTTTGTCAATAATTTTACAGCTGTAACATGTATTATCTGCATTGCAACATTGACAACTCTAGTGAAAATCTATAACATTACTGTAGTGGCGTCTCTCAACAGACAAGTCAACTGAATCTCGCTGAATAAGCTTGAATTGAAATAAAGTCTTTGCGCATGCAAAACCCGTAAGGAATAACAAAATGCCATACCATCGGCATTGTGTTTTATACTGGTTTATTTACCGAAGAAAGATGCATGTTTGTTGCCAGAGAGTTAAACATTTTTAATTACCTTGATGTTAATTACAGTTTTAAAAGGAGGTACAATATATGTTTGATTATTTCCCTTGTAGAAGTTCTGCATCAAACGTTTGTCAAGTATTAAAATGAGATACGACAAACATGCTGCTTCATGGATTTTCAACTTTATTATTGTATTCTGGACGACGCGCCAAACTCACGGTTCCTCGGGTGAGTCTTGAATGCAAAATATTCTTTGGTGTCGTTAACGCTTTAAAAAACTGTAAAATGTATCTCATCCTGTCTGCCCGTATCTAACAGAGTTTGTTGATAATACATACATTGAATCTCTTCTTGTTCCTGGCCGGAAGACATAACAATACTGTGGTTCTCCATATCTAAACAGCTCTAGGCGTATATTGTAATAACTCGATTACGTATTTCAGAGCGAACATTTAACTTATCTACCCTTTTAAAACGACAGCGTTGTCACAGAAAGTTTAAATAATCCGTGGAAAAATTGTTGAAGTAACAAAACATCGAGGAGATAGAACTGAGCTAGATGTAATGTACCTGCAATAACACGGAAAAAAAATCCTGCGACAGAAAATAGTTTTGAACCAGCAGAGAGAGAATATTTAATACTTTTTTATCATTATTTTTTGTTCTGTGTGAAGTGCAGCTAAATCAAATTGCATAATCAGATTGTAAAATTGAATCTCCAAATTATTTCATCCCAACCGGTCGCTCGAGTTTTTACTTTCAAGTTTGCATAATAAAAATGATACACGAGGCACTTGATTCTGAAAATTACCCGGCGCACGACAGACATGCGAAGTTTAACAATCATATTCGATTTTCACTTTAAAATAAAAATAACCCAACGCAGGGGGCTGCGTACGTGATAGGTCGAGTAATTTCCTAGTGCGTTTCTTCAGCGTTTTTTATTTGCTACACCGCGCGTTCCCCGTGCGTTCGCTCGCGCACTGATACTTGTCCTCCCACCTGGCTGGTTTTGTTATTCCTGATTGCGCATGCTTTACGAGTCTGTATTTTTTTGTCTGTTTTCTATTTCAGGATCTCCTAGCCAATGCAAACATGAAACTATTCAATATAATGTTACTATACCCGGGGGAATTCGGTCAGATTTCTCATATCTAGGCGAGGTCTCTAACATGAGAGAATGCATTGAACTTGCTTGTAAGGAAGGCGAGGGAGATCTGGTGTATCTGTTGGACGATCGGTGTTTTTTGATGAAATGCGTCACTACATGTGACCTGCTCAAGGCTCCACATGCTGAATCTGCTGCAGCGCGCCTTAACTGGACAGGTAGGGCATCCAACAAGGCTTGGACTCTTAAAGTTACTAGTTCTTGGCTATCTGGTCTCCCCAAGATTTCTTAACACTGGGGCTGTTTTGTTAGAACGCCGGGTAAAATCTGCTGGGGTTATTTACGTGGACAAATGAGTATAAACAGCTTACGTGCGAATTTAGCGTTTGAAACAAACACTAAGACTATATTACGTCTACAAAGCTAACATTTGCTGCTCGACAAATGTTTTAAAATGCTAACATGTGTCTGACACGTGTTAAATTAGCAGGGAAGTCAGTGTAATGCCTGGCTTAACATTCATCATGACATGATTGGTTTAACTGGCTCGTTCCTAGGCGCCTTTGTATTTACTCGTAGGGGGCGAGAAACGAGAAACGCGATGGTTGATGGTTATTTCAAGGGAATTTCTCGCCACAGAAAAAAAAATTCAAAGCTTTGTTAAAATTCCCTTTCCTTGAAGGGGTGGAGTAGAAGGCTCTTTTCTTTTGGGGACCCTGAATTTTGAGAGAGAGAGAGAGAGAGAGAGAGAGAGAGAGAGANGTTTAGGTAAAATAGAACCAAGCTTCAAAATCTAGAGCACTTTGATGTTCTCGAAGGCAGTAAAATAAACCCTGTAAAAATTTTGGGAAATGTGGAGGAGAGAGAGAGAGAGAGAGAGAGGGAGAAATATTTCCGTTCTGTCGTTGTTAACATATCATTTCATTGATGTAATTACTCTCTCTACAAAGTAAAGATAAAAATAAAGACGGTGGCCAAAACATATACATAGTTATACCGCTCAAAACTATTGTTTCCTTGTGGTAACTGTCTGGACTTAAAAACGACTTCTCTCTCATTAGAGCTCAATGTTTATATTTAGCTGAAGATTTAGAGAGCTTCTACGGTAATTACTATGATAATAATAATAATTCTGCAGTATTATTTCACCTTTCAGGGGTACAAACCTTGCCTCCGAGTAACATCGACTCTACAACTGCTTCAACATACTCGAAACCCACGGAAAAACCTTCGGAAAAACCAACGAGCACTTACACCCCTGCACCAAGAGGTATAGCATTGAGCATGAAACTACGTACTCACCCCACAACTCAGTGCGGTAGTCAATTTTTGAGACATCAACACGTTTAAAAGCTATGGTTCAAGAAAGGTTATTGAACGTTTACAACACTCTCTGGCAGCTCGTGCACGTGCTTTCTAAGTGTCTCTCGTGCTCTCAGATTCCCGCCATAGTTTATGACAGTTTTCTTGATAGCTTAAGCTTTTGTTTTATTTTGTTAATTTACGGTTGATAAGCTTCGCTTTTGCCTTGTTTTAGTTAAACCGGGAGAGAAGGGTCCAGATAATAAAATTGCAAAGTCAGCAGAACATCGTCTTCTCCAAGATTTGATTTACAGTGAAAGTTACAACAAAGAAGTTCGACCAGCGCTTCACGAGAAGGATGTGGTCAAAGTATCGTTTTCTCTGAGCCTCGTTCAGATTGTGGATGTGGTGAGTTACAACTTTTCCTTGTTAGATAAGTAAACATGCTTACTGACTGACTGACCGTGGACTGACTGACTGACTGACTGACTGACTCAGTGAATGACTGATTGACTGACTGACTGACTGACTGACGGACGGACGGACGGATTGACTGACTGACTGATTCTTAATTTGTTGTTGCTGAATCTGGTCAATGCGCTTAACTACACTAGCTGTTTCTCAGGCATGCCACTTAGACTAAAGGAAACAAATATTTTAAGTAAACTTACTTAATAGGCTTGATTGACGATTGACTGACTGACTTATTCTGACTTTTTGTTTAAACAACTGCGATGATTCCTGCACATTAGCAGAAAAACCGAAGAGTTGACATCAAGACTTTTCGTCCGAAAACTTTCAAAGATGACGTTTTCCAAAGGTTTTCAAACCTTATTGGAAGGTCAGTAAGTGTTTTCCGATCTGCCAAATATTTCCAAGGATGCACCGACATCTTGATTGTCAGCGCTATCTGAACGAGCGTACCACAAATCGTCATATATTTTTCTTGTTCTTTCTTACTGTCTCGACGATGGGTAACGCGAAAACACTGACCCCGGTCCGCGGATCCCCACTAGGGGCCGGGTCCGCAGACTACCTATGGACCGGTCTACGGACTACTCCTACGGACCCCTCTACGGACCACCCCCCAAAATAGAATAAAAATAAGAAACAAACATTTCACTTATGGGTTGTCTAATAGATTACTTGTGTCGGCAAAATTTCCAACGTTACAGTGTGCAAATGTAACATTCTTGGGTTCAGGCTCGGGCGCAAGTTATATCATTACACATCGCCATTTCCTTTGCTGTGGCCATACAGTATATTGAAGCCTGGGAAGCCTCCAGGACGCCTCCGGGAAGCCTCTGGAAAGCCTCGAAATTTGTGCTCTTTCCCCTCTGCTATTTTGTTCAGCCCATGCTCGCGTGGATTCGTAAACTCGTTCCAGGCTTCATAATTTGCTCAGCGGAATTACAGATACAAATAAGGTTAAACAACCTAAAAACACACCTCCCATAGCCAGATTGAGCCACGAATGAAAGTTAAAAACTTTCCTTCTTTTTGCCATCGGCATCTCCTTACGCTCCTTACGCTTTAAGGCATTTTTTTTATGGGGGGGGGGGGGGGGGGGGGGGTCGTGTATTAAAAAGAAAAANGGGGGGGGGGGGCGTGTTAATTATTTCATTTGCACAGTGTAACACGCAAAATTTCGCCGATATGAGTTATCTATTAGACAGCCCATCAGTGAAATATTTTTTTCTTATTTTTATTCTATTTTGGGGGATGGTCCGTAGAGGGGTCCGTAGGGGTGGTCCATTGACCGGTCCATGGATAGTTCACGGACCCGGTCCATAGTGGGGGTCCGAGTGTTTTCGGGTTATCCCTCGGCGATATGACCGTTAATTGATGCAATTAAATTTTGTGGTTCTCATAGGACGAGAAAGCAGAGATACTGAAAGTTAATGTCTGGACAACACAGGTTGGTGGAATATAATTTGCCATCAGATTGGAGAAGACTGTTAATATCTTAGTAGTAAACTAATATCAATATTATTGTACCAGAAGCATATCACCTCGAACGAGGTGATATGCTTCCGTTTGTACCAACAAGAGCGAAAGTGTCACTTTTGTTTTCGCCTTCTTTTACAGAAATGGAAAGACCCTTTTCTGCAGTGGGACCCAGACCATTACGAAGGAATCAGCCAAATCAACGTAGAACCATATTTAGTGTGGCTGCCAGTCATAATTCTCTATAACAAGTAAGCTTTTGTCACCACTGAAAGCTTAGACACTGGCCAGACACTGCTAACTGTTTCTATCTGAATCAAAACCCAACAATAAATGTTCTATTTAGAAAGTGTATCTGTCATAGTCCTCAACAAATAATCTCGGTATCATTAATTTATTTACTGATAGTTTTTTTTCTTGTATATTTCAGTGCTGCTAAAGGTTTTGCTGGTGGTTTGGAAAAGTACAAGACCAAGGTGGTGATTCGCAGCAACGGTACGATCACGTGGTTTGCTGCTACGCAGTTCACCTCATCATGTAAACAGAACATCCGCTTCTTTCCTTATGACGAGCAGTTCTGTTACTTGAAATTCGGGTAAGCACATCCGTGTTGAAACATTATCATAGTGCACTTGTTTTGAATGCGCTCGTCTTATTGGATTATAAATAGCCCCTCTGTTTTCTCCAGTTCGCTCTCAAACTGCATTGCATTGAGTGACTTTCATATACTATGTTCTGAAACACACTGATGACAAACAGCGATCATGGATCGAGGAAATGGCCCAGGGACCCTCTGCCCCTTCCCTCCCCTCCTCCTCTTTTTGCTTATGTGTCTGTGACAAACATGCTTCGTTCAAGACAAAACGCGCGCGACCTTCTAACTCTTATACGGAAATCAGTTTTGACAATTAACCACGCAACATTTATACCAAGTCCTAAAGGGGATCTGATCACTACAATTGCGATCTCACAATTCTTTGAAAATGTCCAGATTGAGAAATGCACTCTCGCGTTTTACTGTACTTTGCTTTATCAAGAATTTTACTCTCTCAGATCTTGGACCTACAGTACAAAGTTCCTGGACATGACCACGAGCCAGACGAAAGCCGACATGTCGTCTTACATTAAGAACGGTGAATGGGAGGTGATAGATGTTCCTGTGACGGAGAACAAGCTCTACTACGTGTGCTGTCCTGATCCGTACGCCGACATCACCTTTACAATCCACATGAAGAGGAAGGTTCTTTACTACATCTTCAACCTTATCGTCCCTACCACCATTATCGTCACCTTCATTCTGGTCGGCTTCTGTCTTCCGCCGATCACAGGTGAAAGGATCACGTTAAACATCACAGTGCTGCTGACCATGACGGTATTTTTGAACATCGCGTCCAACACGCTGCCTTCCACCTCGGACGCCATACCCTTGCTTGGAGACTATTATCTGATTCTGATGATCCTGGTCTGCTTCGCAATTCTCTCCACGTGTATTGTACTGCGATATTACTATGCTGGTCCCACGCGCATGCCCGAACGATTGCGCATAATAATTAACGAATGGATTGCCTCGTTTCTGTTTTTCGTCATCACTAGGAAACCCAAGGGAAAAGGCATCAACCAATGGTGCGGCAAACGAACCGAGCAGGCGTGTTACGACTGCGACGAGACTAACAATCTGATGGCTGCACAGAGCTATATTGTCCAAAATGAGAACAACACTGCCGAGGAACGAATTGCACTCATCGAAATACACCCAAAAAATCCAGTCCCGCGGGTCAACGGGATACAAGGCCAACATCAGCGGGTGCCATTGGGCGCAGCATCATCACCAATGAAATCAAAGAGTGAGCCGGCTATTAACCTCACCAGCGGACCTTCGGGAGCTTCAGAGAAGCGAATACGAAGGAGAAAAGTGTCGATCGTTCCCAAACGGAGCAACGCGTTGAATACAGTGCAGAACAGAGTTATGGACGGGCTTGGTGTTCTGACCCGGAGAGTTAAAGAAGACAATGAACGGGGAGAAATAATCGAGGAGTGGGAGTTCGCAGCCATTGTTCTTGATCGCTTGTTCTTTGTGTTGTATTCTTTGACGTTTGTGATTCCGTTGCTTGTTTTTTTCTGGACTGCTCCGACTCCGAAGACCAGCCTAGTGGAACCACAGTGACGGGTGTATGTTTGATTTTGACAGCACTGCAACCAGGCAATAGTTTACTAAAGGAGGCAGCCTGGCCTAGTGGTTTGGGCGCCTGACTTGAAATCCGGGGGTCTTGGGTTCTGGAGTTGTTTCTCGGTAGACTCTAGACCAACTCCTCGGTCATGCTTGTAAATATCTGCCTCCCGCCAGTTGGGATTTTTAAGCCTATTATGCTTATTTGATTTATTTGTTTCTTTCAGTTTAAGTGGCATGCTTGGACTAGCTAGGTGTAGATGAGCGCTTTGACCACTATAAAGAGCAACGTGTGTAAATCAATGTAAGAAAGATCACGTTTGAACTGCGGGGGAAGATTGAAAGACATGTATGATCAACAACTTAAGCGGCGGGAAATTAAAGCCTCAAAAAAGAAAATAATAATCGGGCTTGAACGGGATTCGAACCCGTGAACTCCTCGTACACAACTGTAATGCAGGTTCCCTTTTGACCAAACATCTATTCATGCAGTTAATGTTCCACGGAATTGACGAAATCTTGTACAGTAAGGAAATAAGGAAATAAGGAAATGCACAGTTGACCTCAAAATTAACTGAAAATTTTGTTCAAGTTTGTTTTGTTCATTTTGTTTTTCTGGAATTGACCAGCGCCCAAGTAAAGTTCTCTTACTTCACTTTTCCTCGTTACTATGACCCCCTGGGGGTAATGGCCATAAGTAAATAAACTACAATATTTAGAGATGAAGCCACATTAGCCTTTGCTGGTGTTCATGCAGGTCCTCTATCCTGCTTGAATTGGAATTTGGAGCTGTTGGTTTTTGTGGAGGGAAGAGAACCGGAGAACCCGGAGAAAAACCCTTTGAGCAACCTACATATGGCGCAGGGCCGGAATCGAACCCGGGCCACATTGGTGGGAGGCGAACGCTCCCACCACTGCGCTATGCCTCCTCCCCATCTGCTCCAAATGTGATGGTAGCCACTGAGGAGAATTACAGTGTAAGACTTAAGACAGAAGCACGAAAGTGCCAATAAAACAGACAAGTGTAAACGATTCGCATGAGTTTATTAACGCATCTTTCTTTCTGATATGATACACATTTTCACAATATAGCCTGAATATATTATAATAAAAAATCCTACAAAAACTTCTGGCATCAAAATAACATCAAAAAACATAACCGACAAAACACACTTTAAAAATACGGCAGGCAAAAAATGAGTTTTTTAAGCGATAAAATAAACATCAACATAAAAAAATAACAGCATTTACGTTGCTGAAAAAGAAACTTTAATTACAAAATGAATTTCCTAGTATTCGTATTCAGAGCAGCGCGACAATTTCGCGGAAGTAGCGGTCTGCTCTAATATATTACAAAAGCTGACGACGTTTCGTGATTGAGTACAAAAATCTACATACGCTGCGGGGATTATGTACACTATTTACATAAATACAAAAATAAACGGTGATTTACTCGTTTGTCTCTCGGCAATCCGCTTTTTCCTCTGATGTGAATCTTAACCTGGTACGCACGTCAATTTACCTGGTTTTAAGCGCGGAATATAAAATTAGAAAACGCATAGATGTATTGTGTCTGTAGAGAAAGGCTCCGCGTGATTCACATTTTTTCTCAGCTGAAGCAAACCATCAAATGGTCAGTTAACTTCGTCTCTGCCCGCAAGTACAAGCTACACGTCAGTAGAAGTCGAGCTAAGCTTGAGAAGTCTCACTTCTGTGCGGTATTTCATGCTCGCTAGTTTCTAGCGTTGTATGAAGGACTGTTGCTCAGTTCAGAGCTCTAGATCAGTCGTTCGTCTTTCTCCAGCTGTGTCATGGAATAAGCTCCACCCTTGAACTCTTCATCGGACGGGTAGTACCTGCCGCTCATCTTACTCATTTGTTTCTTACGGTACAAGAACAGTAACACGGTCGCTATCAACGCCACCAGCAGCACAAATCCTATCGACAACCCGAGTTCCATTTGCTTGTTCTGCTTGCGTGCACTTGCCGTGGGTTCGTACACAATCGGTAACCTGCCTTCGCACAACACTCCTGTGTAGTCAGGCGCGCATGTGCAGCTATAGCCTCCATCGTTGTCTACACACACGCCGCCATTTTGACATTCGTGTTCACCAGTTGCGCATTCATCTACGTTGATATCACAGCGAAATCCTTTGAAGCCGGTACCAGTACAGCTGCAGTAAAAACCATTAACGAGATCAACGCATCGGCCATTATGAATGCACGGGTCACTCGCGCATTCGTCAATGTTCACTTCGCAAGTTTTCCCATTATAACCCGCCACGCACGCGCACTGGTAAGAACCTTCGCTGTTTCGACACGTACCGCCGTTAAGACAAGGCGTCGACAATGTGATACATTCATTCACATCAACTTCACAATAACTTCCGCTGTACCCAGACCCCGTGCAGTCACAGAAATACGAACCCACGGTATTGTTACAAGCGCCGTGAACGCAAGGAGTTGAGGCGCATTCATCGATGTCAAGTTCACATTGTGAACCGTTGAAACCAGTCCCTTCGCAGTCACAATGATAGCTGTTAACGGCATCAGAGCAAATCCCATCGTTTCGACAAGGAACTGGTGAACAATCATCTATGTTAATTTCACATCGTCTTCCGGTAAATCCGGGAACACAGCTACACGTGTAATTGTTGATTCCGTCATGGCAAGTAGCGCCATGCATACAAGGACTGGAATTACACTCGTCTATATTAATTTCACAGCTTTTTCCCGTATAACCTGCCAAACAACTGCAAGAAAAATCTCCGACAAGATCAGTGCATTTGGCTCCATTCTTGCAGGGATCCACAGCGCATTCGTCAATGTCCACGTCACAGTTTCTTCCCGCGTAACCAGTGGCACAAGTACAAGTATAATTTGCCAGGCCGTCCACACACGTGGCACCGTGTCTGCATGGATCGAACGCGCACTCATCTATGTCGGTGTCGCAGTTTTTCCCCGTGTAACCCGGTACGCAAGAACAGCTATAGCTTGCGATCAAGTCTGAACAAGTCCCGCTGTTTTTGCAGGGATTTGGAGAACACTCGTCTATATTGATGTCGCAATTCCTTCCTGTGAAACCCAAAACACACTGACAACTGTAGTTGGCTACCAAGTCAGTACAAGTTGCTCTGTTCTCACAAGGCCCAGAAGCGCACTCGTCAATGTCAACGCCACAGTTTCTACCAGCAAACCCCAATGGACACTGACAACTGTAATTGCCTATTAGATCAGAACACGTAGCGCCATTTAGACAAGGCTTAGAAAAACATTCGTTAATGTCTACTTCACACTCTTTACCAGTAAAACCCGTGACGCAATTACAGCTAAACGCTCCTATGAGATCAGTGCAAGTCCCTTGGTTCTTACATGGGCCAGATACACATTCATCGAGTTCCACTTCACAGTTTCGTCCTGTGAATCCCAGCGAACAACTACAGCTATAGTTTCCTATCAGATCTGAGCAGGTAGCGTTGTTCAAGCACGGATCAGAGGAGCATTCATTGATATCAACTTCACAATTTCTACCGCTGTAGCCCAAGATACAGCTGCAGGTGTAATTTCCAATCAGATCAGAACATGTGCCGTGATTTAAACAGGGTTTCGACGAACATTCATTAATGTCTGTTTCACAGTCTCTGCCGGTGTAACCCGAAATACAATTACAGCTATAATTTCCGACATGATCGTTGCAAGTACCATGATTCAAGCAGGGATTTGAAGAACATTCATCGACGTCTGTTTCGCAGTTTCTGCCACTAAAACCCGGAATGCAATTACAGCTGTAGTTTCCAACAAGATCAGAGCATGTACCATGATTTAAACATGGACGTGCAGAACATTCATCGATGTCCACTTCGCAGTTTCTGCCGGTGTAGCCAAAAATACAGATGCAGCTATAATTCCCAACAAGGTCACTGCATGTACCATGATTTAAACACGGTCCTGAAGAGCATTCGTCGATGTCCAATTCACAGTCTCTACCAGTGTAACCAGAAACACAGTTGCAGCTATAATTCCCAACAAGGTCGCTGCATGTACCATGATTTTTACAGGGACTCGAAGAACATTCGTCGATGTCCACTTCACAGTCTCTACCAGTGTAACCAGAAACACAGTTGCAGCTATAATTCCCGACAAGGTCACTGCATGTACCATGATTTTTACAGGGACTTGAAGAACATTCATTGATTTCTATTTCACAGTTTCTGCCGGTGTATCCTGAAACACAATTGCAGCTGTAGTTTCCAATTAGATCCCTGCATGTACCGTGACTTCCGCAGGGGTTTGCAGAACACTCATCGACATCTATTTCACAATTTCTACCAGTGAAACCCAAAACACATTGACAACTGTAGTTGGCTGTGAGGTCGGTACAAGTTGCATTGTTCCTGCAAGGCCCAGAAGAACATTCGTCAGTGTCAACTTCACAGTTTCTTCCACTAAAACCAAGAGGGCAACTACAACTGTAGTTTCCTGTTAAATCAGAACAGGTTCCTTGGTTCCTGCACGGGTTTGGAGAACACTCATTTATGTTGACTTCACAATTTTTTCCTGTAAAACCAACTGAACAGTGACAGCTGTAGTTTCCAACTAGATCGGAACATGTAGCGTCGTTTAAGCATGGATTTGAAGAGCATTCGTTGATGTCTGTTCCACAATCTCGTCCTGTAAATCCTTGTAGGCATTTACAACTATAATTGGCAATCAGATCCTCGCAGCTACCTTGATTTAAACACGGGTTCGGAGAGCATTCATTAATGTTCGTCTCGCAGTTTCCACCGGAAAATCCCGGCAAGCATTGGCAACTATAGGCACCAGTTTTATCAACACATGTAGCGTTGTTTTGACACGGATTAGGATTACAATCATCAATATCTACGGTACAATTCCTGCCAGTATAACCCACAGTACATGAACAACTGTAGTCTCCATTGCCATCGCTACAAGTACCCTGATTCAAGCATGGATTCGGAGAGCATTGGTCGATGTCATCTTCACAGTTTCTCCCACTGTACCCTACGGGACAACTACAGGAGTAATTCCCCACAAGGTCAGAACACGTCCCTTGGTTTAAGCAAGGATAAGGAGAACACTCATCGATGTTAACTTCGCAGTTCTTCCCTGTATAACCTANCTCATCGAAATACACCCAAAAAATCCAGTCCCGCGGGTCAACGGGATACAAGGCCAACATCAGCGGGTGCCATTGGGCGCAGCATCATCACCAATGAAATCAAAGAGTGAGCCGGCTATTAACCTCACCAGCGGACCTTCGGGAGCTTCAGAGAAGCGAATACGAAGGAGAAAAGTGTCGATCGTTCCCAAACGGAGCAACGCGTTGAATACAGTGCAGAACAGAGTTATGGACGGGCTTGGTGTTCTGACCCGGAGAGTTAAAGAAGACAATGAACGGGGAGAAATAATCGAGGAGTGGGAGTTCGCAGCCATTGTTCTTGATCGCTTGTTCTTTGTGTTGTATTCTTTGACGTTTGTGATTCCGTTGCTTGTTTTTTTCTGGACTGCTCCGACTCCGAAGACCAGCCTAGTGGAACCACAGTGACGGGTGTATGTTTGATTTTGACAGCACTGCAACCAGGCAATAGTTTACTAAAGGAGGCAGCCTGGCCTAGTGGTTTGGGCGCCTGACTTGAAATCCGGGGGTCTTGGGTTCTGGAGTTGTTTCTCGGTAGACTCTAGACCAACTCCTCGGTCATGCTTGTAAATATCTGCCTCCCGCCAGTTGGGATTTTTAAGCCTATTATGCTTATTTGATTTATTTGTTTCTTTCAGTTTAAGTGGCATGCTTGGACTAGCTAGGTGTAGATGAGCGCTTTGACCACTATAAAGAGCAACGTGTGTAAATCAATGTAAGAAAGATCACGTTTGAACTGCGGGGGAAGATTGAAAGACATGTATGATCAACAACTTAAGCGGCGGGAAATTAAAGCCTCAAAAAAGAAAATAATAATCGGGCTTGAACGGGATTCGAACCCGTGAACTCCTCGTACACAACTGTAATGCAGGTTCCCTTTTGACCAAACATCTATTCATGCAGTTAATGTTCCACGGAATTGACGAAATCTTGTACAGTAAGGAAATAAGGAAATAAGGAAATGCACAGTTGACCTCAAAATTAACTGAAAATTTTGTTCAAGTTTGTTTTGTTCATTTTGTTTTTCTGGAATTGACCAGCGCCCAAGTAAAGTTCTCTTACTTCACTTTTCCTCGTTACTATGACCCCCTGGGGGTAATGGCCATAAGTAAATAAACTACAATATTTAGAGATGAAGCCACATTAGCCTTTGCTGGTGTTCATGCAGGTCCTCTATCCTGCTTGAATTGGAATTTGGAGCTGTTGGTTTTTGTGGAGGGAAGAGAACCGGAGAACCCGGAGAAAAACCCTTTGAGCAACCTACATATGGCGCAGGGCCGGAATCGAACCCGGGCCACATTGGTGGGAGGCGAACGCTCCCACCACTGCGCTATGCCTCCTCCCCATCTGCTCCAAATGTGATGGTAGCCACTGAGGAGAATTACAGTGTAAGACTTAAGACAGAAGCACGAAAGTGCCAATAAAACAGACAAGTGTAAACGATTCGCATGAGTTTATTAACGCATCTTTCTTTCTGATATGATACACATTTTCACAATATAGCCTGAATATATTATAATAAAAAATCCTACAAAAACTTCTGGCATCAAAATAACATCAAAAAACATAACCGACAAAACACACTTTAAAAATACGGCAGGCAAAAAATGAGTTTTTTAAGCGATAAAATAAACATCAACATAAAAAAATAACAGCATTTACGTTGCTGAAAAAGAAACTTTAATTACAAAATGAATTTCCTAGTATTCGTATTCAGAGCAGCGCGACAATTTCGCGGAAGTAGCGGTCTGCTCTAATATATTACAAAAGCTGACGACGTTTCGTGATTGAGTACAAAAATCTACATACGCTGCGGGGATTATGTACACTATTTACATAAATACAAAAATAAACGGTGATTTACTCGTTTGTCTCTCGGCAATCCGCTTTTTCCTCTGATGTGAATCTTAACCTGGTACGCACGTCAATTTACCTGGTTTTAAGCGCGGAATATAAAATTAGAAAACGCATAGATGTATTGTGTCTGTAGAGAAAGGCTCCGCGTGATTCACATTTTTTCTCAGCTGAAGCAAACCATCAAATGGTCAGTTAACTTCGTCTCTGCCCGCAAGTACAAGCTACACGTCAGTAGAAGTCGAGCTAAGCTTGAGAAGTCTCACTTCTGTGCGGTATTTCATGCTCGCTAGTTTCTAGCGTTGTATGAAGGACTGTTGCTCAGTTCAGAGCTCTAGATCAGTCGTTCGTCTTTCTCCAGCTGTGTCATGGAATAAGCTCCACCCTTGAACTCTTCATCGGACGGGTAGTACCTGCCGCTCATCTTACTCATTTGTTTCTTACGGTACAAGAACAGTAACACGGTCGCTATCAACGCCACCAGCAGCACAAATCCTATCGACAACCCGAGTTCCATTTGCTTGTTCTGCTTGCGTGCACTTGCCGTGGGTTCGTACACAATCGGTAACCTGCCTTCGCACAACACTCCTGTGTAGTCAGGCGCGCATGTGCAGCTATAGCCTCCATCGTTGTCTACACACACGCCGCCATTTTGACATTCGTGTTCACCAGTTGCGCATTCATCTACGTTGATATCACAGCGAAATCCTTTGAAGCCGGTACCAGTACAGCTGCAGTAAAAACCATTAACGAGATCAACGCATCGGCCATTATGAATGCACGGGTCACTCGCGCATTCGTCAATGTTCACTTCGCAAGTTTTCCCATTATAACCCGCCACGCACGCGCACTGGTAAGAACCTTCGCTGTTTCGACACGTACCGCCGTTAAGACAAGGCGTCGACAATGTGATACATTCATTCACATCAACTTCACAATAACTTCCGCTGTACCCAGACCCCGTGCAGTCACAGAAATACGAACCCACGGTATTGTTACAAGCGCCGTGAACGCAAGGAGTTGAGGCGCATTCATCGATGTCAAGTTCACATTGTGAACCGTTGAAACCAGTCCCTTCGCAGTCACAATGATAGCTGTTAACGGCATCAGAGCAAATCCCATCGTTTCGACAAGGAACTGGTGAACAATCATCTATGTTAATTTCACATCGTCTTCCGGTAAATCCGGGAACACAGCTACACGTGTAATTGTTGATTCCGTCATGGCAAGTAGCGCCATGCATACAAGGACTGGAATTACACTCGTCTATATTAATTTCACAGCTTTTTCCCGTATAACCTGCCAAACAACTGCAAGAAAAATCTCCGACAAGATCAGTGCATTTGGCTCCATTCTTGCAGGGATCCACAGCGCATTCGTCAATGTCCACGTCACAGTTTCTTCCCGCGTAACCAGTGGCACAAGTACAAGTATAATTTGCCAGGCCGTCCACACACGTGGCACCGTGTCTGCATGGATCGAACGCGCACTCATCTATGTCGGTGTCGCAGTTTTTCCCCGTGTAACCCGGTACGCAAGAACAGCTATAGCTTGCGATCAAGTCTGAACAAGTCCCGCTGTTTTTGCAGGGATTTGGAGAACACTCGTCTATATTGATGTCGCAATTCCTTCCTGTGAAACCCAAAACACACTGACAACTGTAGTTGGCTACCAAGTCAGTACAAGTTGCTCTGTTCTCACAAGGCCCAGAAGCGCACTCGTCAATGTCAACGCCACAGTTTCTACCAGCAAACCCCAATGGACACTGACAACTGTAATTGCCTATTAGATCAGAACACGTAGCGCCATTTAGACAAGGCTTAGAAAAACATTCGTTAATGTCTACTTCACACTCTTTACCAGTAAAACCCGTGACGCAATTACAGCTAAACGCTCCTATGAGATCAGTGCAAGTCCCTTGGTTCTTACATGGGCCAGATACACATTCATCGAGTTCCACTTCACAGTTTCGTCCTGTGAATCCCAGCGAACAACTACAGCTATAGTTTCCTATCAGATCTGAGCAGGTAGCGTTGTTCAAGCACGGATCAGAGGAGCATTCATTGATATCAACTTCACAATTTCTACCGCTGTAGCCCAAGATACAGCTGCAGGTGTAATTTCCAATCAGATCAGAACATGTGCCGTGATTTAAACAGGGTTTCGACGAACATTCATTAATGTCTGTTTCACAGTCTCTGCCGGTGTAACCCGAAATACAATTACAGCTATAATTTCCGACATGATCGTTGCAAGTACCATGATTCAAGCAGGGATTTGAAGAACATTCATCGACGTCTGTTTCGCAGTTTCTGCCACTAAAACCCGGAATGCAATTACAGCTGTAGTTTCCAACAAGATCAGAGCATGTACCATGATTTAAACATGGACGTGCAGAACATTCATCGATGTCCACTTCGCAGTTTCTGCCGGTGTAGCCAAAAATACAGATGCAGCTATAATTCCCAACAAGGTCACTGCATGTACCATGATTTAAACACGGTCCTGAAGAGCATTCGTCGATGTCCAATTCACAGTCTCTACCAGTGTAACCAGAAACACAGTTGCAGCTATAATTCCCAACAAGGTCGCTGCATGTACCATGATTTTTACAGGGACTCGAAGAACATTCGTCGATGTCCACTTCACAGTCTCTACCAGTGTAACCAGAAACACAGTTGCAGCTATAATTCCCGACAAGGTCACTGCATGTACCATGATTTTTACAGGGACTTGAAGAACATTCATTGATTTCTATTTCACAGTTTCTGCCGGTGTATCCTGAAACACAATTGCAGCTGTAGTTTCCAATTAGATCCCTGCATGTACCGTGACTTCCGCAGGGGTTTGCAGAACACTCATCGACATCTATTTCACAATTTCTACCAGTGAAACCCAAAACACATTGACAACTGTAGTTGGCTGTGAGGTCGGTACAAGTTGCATTGTTCCTGCAAGGCCCAGAAGAACATTCGTCAGTGTCAACTTCACAGTTTCTTCCACTAAAACCAAGAGGGCAACTACAACTGTAGTTTCCTGTTAAATCAGAACAGGTTCCTTGGTTCCTGCACGGGTTTGGAGAACACTCATTTATGTTGACTTCACAATTTTTTCCTGTAAAACCAACTGAACAGTGACAGCTGTAGTTTCCAACTAGATCGGAACATGTAGCGTCGTTTAAGCATGGATTTGAAGAGCATTCGTTGATGTCTGTTCCACAATCTCGTCCTGTAAATCCTTGTAGGCATTTACAACTATAATTGGCAATCAGATCCTCGCAGCTACCTTGATTTAAACACGGGTTCGGAGAGCATTCATTAATGTTCGTCTCGCAGTTTCCACCGGAAAATCCCGGCAAGCATTGGCAACTATAGGCACCAGTTTTATCAACACATGTAGCGTTGTTTTGACACGGATTAGGATTACAATCATCAATATCTACGGTACAATTCCTGCCAGTATAACCCACAGTACATGAACAACTGTAGTCTCCATTGCCATCGCTACAAGTACCCTGATTCAAGCATGGATTCGGAGAGCATTGGTCGATGTCATCTTCACAGTTTCTCCCACTGTACCCTACGGGACAACTACAGGAGTAATTCCCCACAAGGTCAGAACACGTCCCTTGGTTTAAGCAAGGATAAGGAGAACACTCATCGATGTTAACTTCGCAGTTCTTCCCTGTATAACCTACTGAACAGTGACAGCTATAGTTTGCAATTAAATCAGCGCATGTAGCGTTGTTTAAGCACGGGTTTGAAGAGCATTCGTCGACGTCGAGTTCACAATTCCTACCAGAGTAACCCGGAGCACAACTGCAGCTGTAGTTACCAACCAAATTAAGGCAGGTTGCATGGTTTCTGCACGGGTTCGAAGAACACTCGTCGATATTACTGTCACAGTTTCTACCAGTAAAACCCAGGGAACAACGACAACTGTAGTTCGCAATCAAATCAAGGCATGTTCCCTGGTTTAAACAAGGATTTGGTGAGCATTCATCCACGTTCACTTCACAGTCTCTGCCAGCAAAGCCCACAGGACACTGACAAGAGTAGTTGCCTGTTAGATCAGAACACGATCCGCTGTTTTTACAAGGATCGCTTGCACATTCATCGATATCAGTTTCGCAGTCTTTTCCGGTAAATCCCACAGCACAGTCACACCTGTAACCTCCTGATATTTCATGACATGTCGCACTGTTCTTGCACGGTGTGAACTGGCAATAAAATATCTTGTCCTCGCAATACCGACCCGTATATCCCTGGGCGCACGTGCACCTGAAACCGTCCGTGACATTAACACATGTTGCGCCATTCGTGCAGTTATTTACTGTGCAGTCAGGAATGCGAATATCGCATTTGTCGCCCGTCCAACCAGAGTCACAAGTGCAGTTAAAACCATTCCAAGATGGCACGCAAACACTGTGGGCTGGGCAAGGGTTGGGTGAGCAGGTTGAGTTTCCTTGACAACCTACTGTGACGCGTTTCTTGGTGACGTTAAGGCCATCTTGAGAGTTGGGCGACAGATAATGAACACGGCGTGAGTTAAACTTGATATCCTTTATACAACCCTTGAAAGATTTTGGTGAAGTAAGTCCTACAATGAAACATTTACAAGTTATTAATCTTTCTAAAGTAAGGGGGAATAAAGAATACAAGCCACCACTTATTAACACGATTCTGTTAGAATTGTAAATATAACTATTGATTTCCAGTGAACAATCCGTCAGTCTTTTTTGAATTTGTTTTTGGGTCGCTGAGTGCTGAACCAAATAACCAGTAGAAAGTTAAAGAAGTATATCACAGAACTGTCAGACGACATAACACGATACTATCTATAACCCGATAGCTCGAGTTTACTAAGTTTCCAAACAATGCCATAAAATAACTTTCAAAACGCTAAGGACAATAAAGTAAAACCCATGGCCATCAAGTTCAGGATGCAGGTTGAGTTTACCAATGAAAAAATCAAACAACACACAGACAGAACCAAAACCGATATAAATCGAATCCCAGTTTACCTTTGGCCTGTGATACACCAGCTGGGAATCCTCCAATATCAACAGAAACCACAGGCTCCTGGGCAGCATTAAACGCTGCGTCTGCTCCAGGTAGGTCTGCCTGTAAAGTGGTCGCTCCATCCAGCGTGAGAGTAATGTGCTTGTATCTTCGGGTCCAGGCCACGTGATGCCAGTCGCCATCGGACACGGGTGTATTGATCAACACCGCACTCGATCCTGAAATGCACGAAATTTGCTCTGAGTTGTAGTAAATTGGATTTAAGAATTGGAATTTTAGACAGTTCAATCGAACGAGTAAGTTCGTTATGTCCCGTCAGTGCGCATCGCTTTGTGTTTTAACAGGGCAACAATAAACACAAAAACCGACACTTGAATGATCAACTTGAATGTTAGACGCGATGCAGACTCGATAACCCTTGACAAGACCAGTGTCATTCTCGTCCCCAGAGGCCGCGCTCCTTTTGGTCAGCACCAAGAATCGCGACCTCTGGGAAGGTCCAATTTTCTGTGCATACGCAGAGTAATCGTTTCGTATTCTCAGCCAATCCATTCTCGTCCCCAGAGCCCACGATCCTTCTGGCCTGCGGCAGGGATCGAGAGCTCTAGGCTGGTCCAAGACCGGAAGTCCGCGATTCACGGACTTCCCGTCAAATCTGGCAAATCTGATTGGCTGAGAATACGAAACGAACACTCTGCGCATGCTCAGAAAATCGGGTCCGGCCAGAGCTCTCGATCCCTGCCGCAGGCCAGAAGGATCGTGGGCTCTGGGGACGAGAATGCAGCCAATCAGATTTGTCAGACTTGACTCTGAGCATGCGCAGAGTGACGGGAAGTCTGTAAATCGCGGACTTCTGGTGTTACCTTCCCAGAGGTCGCGATTCTTGGTGCTAACCAAAAGGAGCGCGGCATCTGGGGACGAAAATGGACCAGTTTAAAATTTGCATTGAGAGTTTATAGAGAACGAGAAGTTTTAATACTGGCATAAAATCCTTTCGTATGCGTTGAAAAACAAGCGTGAAGAAGGTCGAAATATATTCAAAAATCCGCGAGTAAGAAACGCGAATTTTACTTATGGTTGAAACAAGAAACATACCTGAGCCAAGGTCAGCGGAAAATCTAGCTTGACCGGAAGTGACATCAAGAAGAAGAAATTCTAAATTTCCTCCCCCAGGCTTTCGCCCGGCGTACATAAGCAGAGCATGTGTTTCGTGAGTCCTGAACGATAGAGATCCACTCTGACCGAAGCTCCAATGTGACGAGTTCAGTGAAAGCTCAACATTGCTGTCATTCGATAAAAATGACGTCTCAGAAACTGCAAGAGAGGAACACCATACAGCTCATCAAATAGTTGCATCGCAGAATGCACTGTTAGAAAATGTTTTAAGTATCCTGAAATGGCTAGAACGTGTCGTAACGGCCAATAAAGAGAGAGTTATCTATTATAATAATCCTTTTCCCAATGTCTTGACTGTTTTCAAAAGATCAATTTTGTACACCCATTGTTCCCCCTTGGTTAAAAAAACACAATTAAACAATCCTTTTTCTATTTAAGACAATTTCCTTACCATTTTGACACTGGCTGCCAACAAAATCATTCAAGCAACGACACTCGAACCCAGTCCACGTAGCATCGCACTTTCCTTCATTGGCACAAGGGCTTGGTGCACAGTTTTCGTCTTTCTTGCAGCTCGATTTCGGCAAAAGAAATCCTCCACTTTTTTGTGCAGTTTCGAACGTAATTTCTTCCTCATTTATTGTAACACTTCTTGAACAACCACTAAACGTTACAAATTTGTTGTTTAGAGTAATCCCCAAAACTGAAAACTGATTCAGAAGTCCTCCCATGTATAAATTATCATCAAGATCCGTGATGGCCTGGGAACCTCTTGGCGGTGTTAGGACAGTTTGAAATGTGTCTACGCTAATCGTGACATTGCCGGAAGTGACGTTGACGTGCACTTTGTGCCATCTACCATCAGAAAAGTTCTGGCCAATCACATCGCTGCTTCTTTCGAAGAAAGACTTCGCGTATGCTGCTATTAAACGTCCCTGGTCCAAGGCCAGACCAAAATCCCCTTGCGATGACTGAAATTGAAGTTAGACATCAGTTAAGTATAAATTAACCCTACTGGTCTCTATACACTTCTTACAAGGTCAAAAGTAGGAGATTCCTACAGCTATTCGATTTTACCCCCAAATGACTCTGAACAGTACTAGCGAGCTCAGAAATTCTTCGCTATACTCGCAAACTAGTTCTTTCGCGTTGACCACTAAACTTCACTGCCGTCAAAGTGTGTTCGGAAGCTGTACCGAAAACAAGAGCCTGTTACCCATCTTCTACTGATGAGAAGTTGTATTCGTATGAGATTTCTGCCAAATACTTGTGGAATCAATGAAATCGTATATTGAGCTGAGATAACCTCGGCTTGGTGATTAGTTCCGAATCTCTCGTAACCCGCATACCATGCATTTGACCTTTTACCGATATTCTAAGAGGACAGTTGATATCGACTGTCATTTTTTAGCAAAGTTCAACGCTAACACGTTCTTTAAATATAAAAGTGTAAAACATTTAAAAGATTTTTTTTTTTGGACCACGTTCTGGCGTTACTTCACGTCATTATCAAGTCAAAAGAAGAAATGACAACTGGAAAAATATAATATAACAAAACAATAGAGAGAATTTTTGTTCCCCAATGGGTACAATTCCCAAAGGTGAAATGAATTCGAACAAGTATTGATTGTCGTTGGAGGCGCGGTGGCCTCATGGTTAGTGCGC